CGGGCACATTGGCGTGGGTGTGGGCAGCCCTCAGACCCAGCCGGGTGCAGGGACCTGGCCGAGCAGGAGGTTCCCTGGTCTGGTCAGTGGGGGACCAGCAGGTGTCCCCTCGGACCAGGGGCCACGTGGGCACGGGTCTGCACCACCGTCGCGTGAACTCTGCTCCTGGACAAGCTGGGGTTCGGGTCAAGTCGAAGGCGGTGGGATTTAAAGCAGGAGGCCCCAGAGATTCATGGGAACGGCTTCCAGCCTGGCACCGTCAGCACCCGGGTGGGGGCTGGGAGCAGCCCTGCGACATGGCCCCACCGAGGCGACTCCGATGCTTCTATCCCCTCCCCTCGAGCAACAAAGAGGACACAGAGGTCCTGCAAGGGGAGGGACGGCCATGGCCACCTGCCTGCACCCACCAGCCTCCCCTTCACACATAACGGGCCCCAAAGCCAGGCTGGCAGTGAACTGGGAGGGCCCTGCTCGCCCCTGGGAGTGCTGAGGAGGACCTTGGGGGGGGACAGGGGACACCCTGGGGGCTGAGGGCCTTGTGGACACTGACCCTCCCAGGCCCTGCAGGTGTGGCCGGGATTGGCGGTGCCCGCTCCGGCCAGGTGGCCTGGACAGATGCGCTGCCAGACCCCAGGCCACGTGAATCTCGGGGAGGTGACAGAGGGCTCGGCTCTATCCTGCCGCCAGCAGCATGTGTCCTGGCTGATAAGGAGGTGCTTTTGTGTGGTCCCCAGACAGGGCGCAGACAGGAGGGGTGGCTGGGAATTGGGTGGGGCACTGCCAGGAGAGGGTGTAGACCAGTGCCCACCCAGCTGCCTGTGGGGATGGAGACCCCTGCTCCCCCAGCCTGGGGAGCCCGGGCAGGGAGCTGGGGGCGGGGGGAGAGGCTGTGGGGAGAGGCTGGGACGGCTCTAGGCTGCAGGGCACAATCAGGGGCCCAGGCAGCCGGCTGGAGGCCACAGCGCCGCCCACCCGTGAGCCTGGCTGCTGTGGCGCCTGTGAATTATTCACAAGGGCTCAGCTCTCCCTGCGGGGGAGGGAGGACGGCTCCCAGCCCTACCGCAGAGAAACCCGATCCCACCCAGGGAGCTGCGGTGGCCTTGGGCCATGGCAGTGACAAGCTTCGAAGGAGCAGGAGGGCTGGACGGTGTCCGGGGAGGGCCCAGCCAGTGCCAGGCTGCATTAGGGGGCATCAGAAAGGGCTTGCGACCCCAGAAACACCCTGCACCCCCACCCCACCCCTCCTCCAGTCTATCCCAGTCCATTGGTCAAATTCTCCCAGAGGCCAAGGAATGGCCCCAGCAACCTTGGGGTCTGCTGTCCTGGGGACCCTCCCTCTGAGCCTTCTGCAGAAAGAGGGTCCCTAACCCGGAGGCACAGAGGCTGACAGGAGCTGGCTGGTCATCCCTCCTGGCCAGGAGCATGAGAGGCTGGTGGTGGGGAACCAGTGGGGACAGACTGGGAAGTGGGGGGAGCAGGGCTCTCAGGGCGCCTGACCACCTGCCGGGAGGGTCCTGGGGCCCAGGAGCCACCGGGCTCATCCTGAAGCTGGAGGGATGAGTGCCAGGGACACTTTGCTGAACTTCAAGGCTGGGAGCTTGGGGGTGGGCTCTGGGCCCAGGTCAGAGATTGGAAGTGCCCTGGCCAGGAGCCAGGAGAGGCTAGTGTCTCCCAGAAGCTGGCACCAAGCACCAGTCCGAGCCTTACAACCACCCCAGGCACGGGCCCTGTAATCACCCATTTTACAGATGGGCTCACTCCACTCTGTGCTAGGCGAGATTCTAAGTGCCAGGGACACTTTGCTGAACCAGACAGATGTGCCTGCCTCGCGGAGTGACAGGTACAGAAAGGGCGTCTCATGGCCAGCTGCCTGCGGAGGTCCCCTGGCTCACTGGGTGGCCATGGCCACCCCTCTCGGTTCTGTCTCCCACTCCCTCCGGGCCTTTCAGGTTTACTGGGGATCCCTGGCTGCTTCCACAGCCCCGCTGGAGGGGTTCAGGCAGCCGCCCATCTTGAGCAGGGTGCCGAGCTGCTCACCCCTCCAGGACCCCAGGGACTGTCTCGCTCTCCCTTCGAAGGCCAGAGGCTCTGCCTGGGCCTGGGTCTGCCCGCTCCCCGCTGGGCCTCTGTTTCTGCCACAGGCAGTGAGGGTTCATTTATTCTGTT